GACCATATGGGATGCCAAGGATCAAACCCGGTTCAGCAGGCTGCATGCAAGGCAAGCGCACAATCTATTGTATTATCACTCTTGTCCCCTGTTGTAACTCTTAACCATGAATCGGCTTTGTAATACACCACAGAAATTGATGGACCACTTGGGCATTTTTGCTTTGTTTTCTGAGATTAAGGGAAACTAATTCCTCATGTATTCTCTGCTGACATTTTGGCTCTGAAAAATATTTCTTTATATACTATCTAAAAATCTCGATACGGCATCTTAAGATGCACAATTTTAAAAAATCACTATTTTTCTTTGATAAATGAATAGAACACCAACTATGGGATGATAAATTATGAGATTAATTTGTGCTATACTATAATCCAGGCCTTCTATAAACCTTCATACTATATCTTTAATATTAAAATTTATGACACTAGCCGCCTAGGGTTCAGTAGTAGAACACTTGCCTCATACGTTTGAGATTTTGGGCTTGATTTCTGGCACCACAAAAACAACAAAATCATGATACTACGCATATGAAACTCTAAATTCTGACTTTATGAAATACTAAGTATATTTTTCAAATTATTTCCTCTTAAACTCATAGAAACAGAATTATTAGTCATACGTGTACATTTATCTTTTTATCTTTTTCTTTTTCGGCCTTTGGGCCATACCCAGGACTTATCCTGGCTCAGGGATCATTCCTGGTGGTGTCTGGAGGAGCACATACAGCACGGGGGACTGAAAGTCAGACGCATGCAAGGCAACTGTCTTACCCACTGTACTCTATCTTCAGCCTCAACATTTATCTTCTTTATAACTAAAACCTAATCAAGAAGCTATATAGTTAGCAGACATTTTCGGAAAATCAGAATGTTGATTTGTTGATAATTTCTCTGTGAAACTGAAAGAACATGACTTTACACGGCCAAACATTACTTATATCCAAAATTTTTGCGATGTGAACTTAATCACAATCAGAATTCACATTACTGCTTAGTATTTTTTTCTCTCTAAAAAATGGCATATGAAATTAATATCCTAGAGCAGTCTCTTTTATTCTCAGGCCTTTCCTTTAACTAAGACTTGAACAGAAAAACTACTGCAACTTTTTCAGGTAGCAATGGCTCAGAGAAAGCACCATCCACCACCACCAACAAAACCAAAGGAACAACAAAGTCTTCTGCAGTGATGTGGATTTTTCAATGATAAACAGTAACACATCAACACTTAGTGCTGGTATGTCCTCTGCACATCAATGCTTTCATCCAACTGAAAAACAAAATATCTGCTAGCGTGCACACATGACAGTAATTGCTTTTCCAGATGGCATGCCTTTGATAAGGGATTTTTGCCAAAAGCTCATTTTACTTTCACTCCAAGCATAATATTTGTCATTAACTTTGAAACTGGTTTTACAAGCTTCTCAACAGTGGTGTGAGTTGACCTGGTTTGGGTTTTTTTTTTTTGTCATAGTGGGAGCGGGTGCTATGACAAGGATAATTTTAAGTACTGTGGACTCTATCCTCAGCAACATTATTAATTTTACACTGGAAACATTATTTTACAAACTTTTATATGCTTCATTTTTATGTCTAAACATTATAATTACTATAGAAAAGGCAACTAAGATATTAATTCAACCTCCCTATTTGAAAATGGCAAATGTTAACAAGTAATACATTTCTGTAGAAACTTGCAAAAGATTGTGGAGATAAGAAATTACCAATTCTTAATTTAAGAAACCTAAGTTTGCAACATGGCACTTTCTTTACAAACGAACCATAAGTAGTTAAGAACAACTCCCAAATATCAACAAATGCAATTGATCAGAATTTCCTACTGCCTAAACCTAAGTTCTGCTGAGATTTTGAATATAGGATTTAATTATATTACTTAAGAAGGAATTATAAATTGTTATCATTTTGAGTACTTTAAATAGATTTTAGATGAAGTGACTTAGCCTCCCTAGCCCCAGAGTAAACACTGAGTGAGAGATGTCTTTAGTTCATTCATCAAGAAATTATACAGAACACATATAAAAAAAAGAAGCACAATCAATAAAAAAAATTGTTTTAAATGTACAAAAATTTATGTACTCCAAATATCTAGAATCATTTTTTAAAATGATCATTTACACCTAGTGTTATTAAATAAAAGGAAGAAAAATATAGTTCCTTGAAAATAAGGAATATACATTTACAGTTTCATAAGCCAGTGCTATCTTAATTTAAAAAGAGAAATTATTCTAATATACAAATTATCTATTTATGTGCTTTTGGGCCAGCCACACAGTGAGGGGCTACTCCCGGCTCTGTGCTCAGGGGTCACTCATTGGGCACTTGGGAAACGATGTGATGCTCAGTACAGCAGCAAAGCACAAAGAAAGCCTGTGCTCAGCCCCACTGAACTATTTGGCTACCCCCAAACTATACATTTGATAATCATTACAATTTGGTTCAAAATGACAAAAAAAAAATAGAAAGTATAATACATCTGCTAACTACCAGAGAAGTTTTAAAGTTTGTCTTCAAAATAACCATATTCTTTTTCATCTGCTCTTTGATGCACAGTAACTTTCTTTTGGGAAAACTGCTCAATTATACTATTCCTTTCTAGGAAGTAATTCATGTATTTTAATTGGGGTGTTCCTATTTTCTAATGTAATGGATTCTTATTTTAAAATTTATTGCTTTATAAGTCTCTCTTCCAAAACAGAACAAAATTAATAGTCCTACTAATAAGTGACATACTTTTGTAAGATTTTCCTTTAGTTTATAAGATTTAGAAATATCAATGATAAAACACATTCCTTGCATGCATAAGACATGGATTTGACCCCCAACACCACCAAAACAATAAACAAAAAACAATGTAATATATCCGTAGTGAACCAACCCACTTTGATTTGCTTCCTAAAATAATTCTTTTCCATACTTTCTGCCGGCTAGAGCAATAGCACAGCAGTAGGGCGTTTGCCTTGCACACAGCCAACATGGCCGACCGGAGTTCGATTCCTCCGCCCCTCTCAGAGAGCCCAGCAAGCTACCGAGAGTATCTCGCCCACACGGCAGAGCCTGGCAAGCTCCCCGTGATGTATTCGATATGCCAAACTCAGTAACAACAAAGTCTCCAATGGAGACGTTACTGGGCCCGCTCGAGCAAATCGATGATCAACGGGAGGGCCTTTACCCTACCTTTACCTTACTTTCTGCCTATTTGGAAAAATATAGCTAAAAGGAAAAAAGTACTTCTAAATAAATACCTAAAGTCTACCCTGTTTAGAACTTACATGTATTTTAGAAATATAAAAAAGAAATATAGAAAGCACTGCTTGTTTCTGTTGATACAGTGTTTGACTGTCTTCAACTGTCTTAAGGAGTCTTTAATATTTATTTTTTCTTTTTGGGTCACACCTGGCGATGCACAGGGGTAACTCCTGGCTTTGCACTCAGGAATTACTCCTGGCAGTGCTCATATGGGATGCTGGGAATCGAACCTGGGTCGGCAGCATGCAAGGCAAATACCCTACCTGCTTTACTCCTGCTCCAGCTCCTTAGAGAGTCTTGAAAACCGGGATCCACTCCAATTTGGACTTGTCACCTGATTCTTTAATTACATTCCTTGTGACACTAACTCATCATCAGGACAATCTATAGATAACAAGAGTAACAATTCCTGGTGATCCTTGATAAATTTAGGAGAAGAGGACCGAAAGGCTTCCAAATGAAAATAAAGAAAAATCACTAAGGTCTATTTTACCATGAGGCTGGTATCTAGTACTGAACTCTATTGGTCATTTCAGGGGGGTCATTAAAAATATAAATCTATATATTTTTTCTATTGCCAGCTTTATTGGCAGACTGTTGATGGTTGTAGCCCCTGGACCCCTAAGCACTACCTGGGAGACCCCATCCCCAATTTCCATAAAAGTGTAAAGCACTCATGATGACTAAACAACAGAAAAAATAATGATGCCTATGCTCATTTGCTATTGACTTAACGTGTCTTTGTTTCTGGTTATGTTAAATTTTACATAGATTGTAAAAAACTATTTTCCTATATTCATCAACTAAAGACATAGGCAGTTGTACACTTCTTTAAATTACAATATGTTACATATACAATGAAAAACTCAAACACCTGAAAATACACACACACACACATATATATACATATAATTGCACCGGTATTTAATTCAATTCTTCTAACAAATAATTTACTGAGTCTTAATCTGCACTCAGTGTATTGTAAGTTATATGTTCTTCTAATTGCAAGGATTACCTCCCTTTAAAATTTGGATCCAGGGGCTGGAGCAATAGCACAGCGGGTAGGGCATTTGCCTTGCATGCAGCCGACCTGGGTTCAATTCCCAGCACCCCATATGGTCCCCCAAGCACCGCGAGGAGTGATTCCTGAGTGCAGAGCCAGGAGTAACCCCTGAGCATCAGCTGGGTGTGACCCAAAAAGAAAAAAAAATTTGGATCCATTCTCAGTTTTTATAGGGTGTGGGTTAGAGGGGATAAACTCTTTTCGACCTAACCATTTCTGGGGTCAACAGGGCATTGTTTGTCTTGCATGTGCCTGATCCAGATTTGATTCCCAGCACCCCATCTGGTATACCCTGGGCTCACCAGGAGCAATTCCAGAGCACAGAGCCAGGAGTAAGCCCTGAGCACCAGTGGTGCTCAAACCCAAAAAGTACAAAACAAAAGGGACTGGAGCTATAGCACAGCAGGTACAGTGTTTGCTTTTCACACAGCTAACCCAGGTTCGATCCCCAGAATCCCATATGGTCCCCCAAGCACAGCCAGAAGTAATTCCTGACTGCAGAGCCAGGAATAACCCCTGTGCATCGCCGGGTGTGACCCTGACGAAAAAAATTTAAAAATAGAAAAATAAAAGCTAACTATTCTAACACAAAAAATTAAATTTACAAAACTGTATATAGAAACTAACATTATGACTATCAAAGACTCCAATAAAAATTGCACCACAAATACCTTAGAATAAGAAGAAATTTGAAATGTCGGTGACTTCATTTGGAAGCAAGATTCTTAGTGCATGATCTTGTCTGATGGTCTTTGATTTTATCACCAGAAAGTTCCAGTTACATTTCCATTAGTATGGATAGATCTAAAGTAGGAGAAAAAGACATTTAGTCTTGAAACATAGATTTTAAGATACCATAACCATTACTATTTTCCTCTAAGCAAAGATTCTTACACAGACTTTGAGTTTAGCACGCAGTTTGAGTTCAAATGGACAGTAAGAAGAAATAGGATTGCCAGCAAAAGATACCTCCAGGGTAAAGATGCACCCAATTCAGCGACTACATTCATAAATGCATCACATGCAGTGGAATATTACAAACTGAATTCTACTAAGTAATGATAAGTAATTCTGTATATTCCCATCCTACCTCAAGGTTAACTCAATACAGTTGGTACCTTACAGACATCAGAAAATTCTTAAATCTGAGCCCAGTGTTAAGCAGTGTGAATATTTGTAAATCAGAGAATCAGGTGAATTCAGCAATCTTTCTAGTGAATTAATTCCATCCCACAGGTTCTACCGTGTGACCCTTGAGATTTACTAAAGACAAAACATTCTAGCCAACCACTCTTTCCTGCTTCCTATTGGTCAAAAATTTCTACCCATATTGTTCTCCTATCTTGTCATCCGGCCCAAGTTCTCCGCCCCCGCCCCAATTGCTGCCCTTCTTCCCAATTTTCTCAGAATTTCTGGAAATTATTTTTATATATGTATAAATCATTTCTATATCCTCAACTTTATCACTGAACATTCCATTCATTCAATGGGCTAAATCTGACTCTTTGAAAGAACCTTCTAGAATGAAGATGAAGGCAACAGAGATCAACTCTGTCCACTGTGCCATTTCCAGACTCTGACCCATGAGCAATCCCCTTCCTTCCCCCAGGCTCATATCATCTGGCGGCCCTACTCTTCTCTCTGTCATTCAATATCCCATCCAATTAGTTCTCCTGTCCCTCTCCTTCCCCTCTCCTCTCTTTTCCTTCCTTTCTTCTTCTTCTTTCCTTTCCTTCTTCGTGCCAGGGAATCCATGACCTCAAATACATGAGGCATATACTCTACCACTTGGGCTATGTTCCCAAGTCCTCACCCTCAAATTTCAAATCCTGGGTCAACTCAATCAGCCTCCACAAGAAAATGACACAACTACATGCACCACACACACACACACACACACACACACACACACACTGCTTTATTAAGGTTTTTAAAGTTACACATGGAATTCTATTCAGTACCATTCTAAATGTAGTCAGTGCCTTCCCCCATGACTCACTCTGCCTTTCTTTTCGAACTTTCCCTGCCTTTGTTAACTCTTCCTCTTCACTGAAGACTTAATGTACTGTCCCTCTCAAATCACTTTTATACTCTATGAGCCTATCTGAAATCTATCAACCACTAAGTAGTCATAAACTCTGTTTGGGTTTTTTTTTTTTTTGGAAGGGGGTGGCTCAGGACTTACTCCTGGCCCTGTACCCAGGGACCACTTCTGGGGCATGAGGTGTTGGGAGATCATACACAATGTGAGGGATCAAGCCCGAGCCAGCGGCATGCGAGGCATGCACCCACCCTTTGTACTATCCCTCCAGTCCAAATAGTCCCAAATTCTGAAAGCAGGATAGTTCTTAGCACAAGAGACTTCACATTCTGAAAGCTGACCACTTCATTTGTTTCAATGGACCTGCAAAAATGAAAGAACACTGGTCCAAGAGTCAAGAAAGCCATGTAAGTCAAGAAATATTCCATTCTACTAGTGGGATCAGGAAAGGCTTCGTGAAGGAAGAAGCCCCTCAGGTTGAATTCTAAGTGATGGTCAAGGGCAGAGAAAGCCAGAGAAAGCATTACAGTAGGATCAGGATACAGGACAGTTCGAAACAGCCTAACTCTAAGTTGTTCCACTTTCATTTAGAATGCAGGAAGTGACAAAAATTTCATTCTCATCCTAATGAAAAAAAAAAAAGAAAAGACATCTATAAAAGTAAAGCTTCTCATGAGCTAAATTAAATTAGAATAAATAACTGAAAGATAAACAATCACCAGAAGGTAGAAATTCAACAACATACTTCCAATTACCCACAGGATCAAAGAGCAAGGAAACCGGAAATATTTTAATTGAATGAAAAGCAAAACAGAACATTTCAAAATTTGTAAGCTACACTGAAACTGTTCTTAGAAACTTATATTATTAAGTACAGTAGGAAACAAGAAAAGTCTTGGCTTAATAACCAAAGTTTTTGCTTTAAGGAAGTAAAAAACAAAGAGCAAATTAACCACAAAGTAGTTAGAAGAGGAAGGAATTGAAAACAAAACAAAAAAACAACAGAGAAAATATGAAACTGAAATCTTGTCTCTGAAAAGAACTTCTCGCCAGAGTAATAAAGAGCGAAGCCATAAATTATCTGTGTTAGGAATAAAAGGATGAACGTCAACGTCAGTTCTTAGAGAAAGGAGAGAGTAGTATGAGCTCTATGAAAATCATTTCTAAAACTGTAATATAACATACCAACTTCCTGAAAGTTTGAAAATAAATTACCAAATTCACTCAAGAAGTCAGAAAACAAGAGTAGCTCTTGATGTGTTGATCATTTAATTCACAGTTTTTAATTTTCTCATGACAAATGTTTCGAGGTAATTTTTTTTTCTTTTTGGGGTCACACCCGGCGATGCACAGGGGTTACTCCTGGCTCTGCGCTCAGGAATTACCCCTGGTGGTGCTCAGGGGACCATATGGGATGCTGGGTTGCAAGGCAAACGCCCTACCCACTGTGCTATTGCTCCAGCCCCACCAGGTAATTTTTTAAAACATCTAAGAATTCATACCAATATTTGCAGATTCTTTTTTTTTTTTTTCGCTTTTTGAATCACACCTAGCGATGCACAGGGGTTACTCCTGGTTCTGCACTCAGGAATTCCCCTGGCAGTGCTCAGGGGACCATATGGGATGCTGGGAATTGAACCCGGGTCGGCCTCCTGCAAGGCAAAAACCCTACCCGCTGTGCTACTGCTCCAGCCCCTATTTGCACAGATTCTTTGGAAATGAATGGGAAAATACTTCAGAATTCATTTTATAAGGATATCATTTTTACTAACAAAACACATATCAGAACAAGCTTAAGAAAAGTAAACTGAGGCCAGGAAGATAGCTCAAAGGGCTGAGCACACGCTTTGCATGTAGGAGCCCTGGTTTCATTCCCCACCACATGGTCCCTGGAGCACCAAGCCAAGAATAATCAGTCCCAAGCACTACTAGGTATGGGACCAACCCCTCTCCCCACAAAAAGTAAACTACAGACTAATCAGTTTCGTGACTATACATATGAGTTATCTTTTTAAAATAAAATATAACTAGTTTGCTATTGGTTTATAATTATAAATCTCAAGGCTTCATAACTCTAGACAGACAAAATTTCTCATAAAAATTATTAGATTATTAAAATTATTATTTAAAAAATTAATCCAGCTGAGGAGATAATATAGGGGTAAGTTGCTTGACTTGCATGCAGCAGACCCAGATTCAATTCCTGGCACTCCACATGGTCCCTAACCACAGGGTGTGGCCCCAAAACAAAAACATACAAACAGAAAAACAAAAACAACAACAACAAACAATCCTGGCCTTCCAATTTCCATTATACCATTACAAAGTTGGTTCAACTTTCTTGACTTAGTCTATGACCATCCATGTTATTTGAGGCCTTGGGGAAGTTGAATACCATCTGAGCAGTTGAATACTGCTTAAAATATTTAACATACAAGATCATCGACACTTTAGTCTACCAGCATTCTGTCAGGATTTGCCTTCTTGAGTAAGACTTCTTGAAGCAGCTACTAGTGACTACTAGGGAAGAAAGGGTAAAAGCATTCAGTTCAGTCCATAGATTTGAGTTTATCAGATGACAACAGATGACAACGAAAACACAAATAAAGAATTGCTCTTCATCAAAAGGGAATGCCCTGCCACAGAGATGGGGGGGGATGGGATTGGGGTGGTGGGAGGGATACTGGGATCATCAGTGGCACTGGTGGAGAGATGGGTACTTGATCACTGTATGACTGAAATGTAAGCACAAATATTTTTAAGTCTGTAACTGTACCTCATGATGATTCATTAAAAATTAATTTAAAAAGAACTGCTCTTCTTGTGGATATATTAAGTAATTTGATTAGTCTAAAAAACCAACTTTAAAAGTTATCTCAATGTCAAAAGCAGGGCAAAAGTTCCAAGCCAAGCCTGCATTTTGGGGAGTTTACAAAGAAAAAAGGGAGTTCTGAGAACTTGTTTTGGTAATGAGTTACTCCCTTCCACTATCCTAGAGAAAAAGATTTAATAAAACTCAACCTGGCGGTCCAGGGGTCCAGAGAGATAGAACAACAATCAGGGCATTTGCCTTGCGCTCACCCAATCCCCAGAACCATATATGATTACCCCTAGCACAGCCAAGAGTGATTCCTGAGTGCAGCGCCAGGACCAAGCCCTGAGCCTGCCAGGTGTGGCCCAAAACTAAAAAAATAAATAAATAACTCATCAATCCATGGCAATCACTCCATAAAGTCTTGTTTTTTAACACTATAAGATTTCTGTAAGGTTGCTTTTTGTTACAAAGCATTAGCATTAGAAATTTCCACAAGACTTTGGCCATACAGCTATTAACCACTTCTAAAAGATATCTGGGTGGGCAGAGAGATAGTACAGTGGGTAAGGTGCTTGCCTTGCACAGGACCCGGATCTGATTCCTGGAACCCCATATGGTTCCTCGTCTGCCACAGTGATCCCTGAGCACAGAGCCAGAAGTCAGTCTTAAGCACAACTGGGTGTGGTCCAAAAAACAAAAAACGAAAAGGACAAGGTCCCCTCCCTCAAAAAAAAGGGGGTGAAAAAGTAGTGAAAACATCAGAATAAAGCATATTAGAATTCTATTCCCTACGTTATTTCATGTGGTCCTCATAAAAATGAAGTATTGAAGAAGGAGGCATAATTATCCTGTGGTAGGATTGTTTTAGGCCACTCCTGGCAATGCCAAGCTACTGCAGGTGAAGCCCCTGGGACGGAAAGCGCTACCAGGGATGGAACCCCAGCTTCT